AACCCCAAACAGGATAGATCCCAAAAGAAAAACACCAAGACATATCATCATCAAACTCACCAAAACCAAAGACAAAGAAAGAATCATGAGAGCTGCATGGGAAAAATGAAAAGTTATCTACAAGGGGCAACCAATAAGACTAAGCTCGGATCTCTCGACAGAAACCATGCAGGCGAGAAGACAGTGGGATGGTATATATAAAACACTGAAAGAGAAAAATGTCCAACCAAGAATTATGTAGTCAGCAAAACTGTCACTCAAATATGATGGAGAAATTAGGACATTTGTAGAAATGCAGAAATTAAGGGAATTTGTTAAAAGTAGACCAACCTTACAAGAGATGCTAAAGGGAGCCCTTTGGACAGAGAAGCAACAACAGCCAACAATAACTGACCATTAACACACATGATGATATAACCCAGAAACCAACACAGCTATGGAGGTATCCAAAGTAAATAAGCCTACAAGATTGTAAACAGGGAACCAGAGACACCAACCAACAAATGAGGACAACTACAAACCAAAAAGAGGAAAAAAAAATCTGTGTTGTTACAGAACTTAGATAGTAGGGAAGTCAAGACACCTACAAGATAGAATGGATGTTCTAAACTTGGGAAGAAAACTATAAATCACAGGGTAACCTCAAAGAAAAATGATAAACCTTCACATCAAAATAAAAAAGAGGACCGGCAAAAATATTCAGCAAATACTAAAACAATAGCAATGAAGAAAGTGATAACATGATCCATAAATAAAACGAGCTCAGCATAGAAAACTATATGGAAGAAATCAACACAATGAAAAAGCATATGACAAAAATGACAGCAACAGTTCATATTTGCTGATCATTACATATCTGGCAGTCAGCTGCAGGGATCCAGGTGAGGAGAGGGAACTCAGGCACACCCAAAGCAGCAGGGTGGGAGAGTGGGAGAAAGGGGATAAAAAAGTCTGGAACCCAGATAAAGGAGCAGTCAGCCGCAGGGATCCAGGTGAGGAGAGGAACTCAGGCATGCCCAAAGCAGCAGTGCAGGAGAGCAGGAAAAAGGGGATTAAAAGCCAGGAACTCAGACAGAGGAGCAGTCAGCTGCAGGGATCCAGGTGAGGAGAGGAATTCAGGTACACCCAAAGCAGCAGGGCGGGAGAATGGGAAAAAGGGGATTAAAAGGCCTAGGAATCTGGACAGAGGAGGAGTCAGCTGCAGGGACCCAGGTAAGGATGGTAC